ATAGTATATACTATATATAGTATATATATATATGTATGTATGTATGTATGTATGTATATATCTATAAGTCGTATGTCTTCGTACGCTTTCCCATTCAGAGCCCCACTCGTTCTCCTGCGTATTTGGCGGCACTAGACTGTCGTCTTCCCCTGAGAGACCTGTGCCCTGTTCTTATACGCCCTCATGTGCTAGTTACACATGACTTGTTATTGCTACACATGACTTCTTCTCACTCGTGTGCTAGTTGCACATGACTTGTTTTTGCTACACATGACTTCTTCTCACTTGTGTGCTAGTTGCACATGACTTGTTATTGCTACACATGACTTCTTCTCACTCGTGTGCTGTTGTCTTGTTTTCTCTTATGCGTTTGTGCGCAGATGTCTATTCGCTGGGCGTGTCTGCGTATGAGATGCTGACGGGACGTTTACCCAAAGGCCGCACTAAATTTGGATTCTGGAGTAAGTGGCGTGGCATTCATCTGGTTGTATTCTAGTGTTAGGCTTTTTTGAAACCCTAAAACCCTAAACTCCCATTTCCCTGGTTGTGGTTAAAGTCTGTTGTTTAGTGTGTACGTGTAACTGTGATACTGTTTGAGTGAATGTGTATAGTCAATTGTGATATAGTGAATGTGTATGTAAATGTGCATGTGTAGCTAAGGCACTTTTTGAGTGCATGTGTACGTTAGTGAATGCGTATGTGTACATGTAGCTATCGCACTTTTTGAGTGTTAGTGTATGTGTATGTGTAGCTATGGCACTTTTTGAGTGCATGTGTATGTTAGTGAATGTGTATATGTATGTGTAGCTATGGCACTTTTTTAGTGTACGTGTACGTTAGTGAATGTGTATGTGTACATGTAGCTATCGCACTTTTTAAGTGTATGTGTATGTTAGTGAATGGGTATGGGTATGTGTAGCTATGGCACTTTTTGAGTGTATGTGTATGTTAGTGAATGTGTACATGTATGTGTAGCTATGGCACTTTTTGAGTGTACGTGTACGTTAGTGAATGCGTATGTGTACATGTAGCTATCGCACTTCTTAAGTATATGTGTATGTTAGTGAATGGGTATGTGTATGTGTAGCTATGGCACGTTTTAAGTGTATGCGTTTGTTAGTGAATGTGGATGTGTATGCATAGCTATGGCACTTTTTGAGTGTATGTGTATGCTAGTGAATGTGTGTGCTCTCAAGTGTATATCAATGCGTAAGTATTTAGGGTTTAGGTTTAGGGTTTTAGGGTCGAGTATTCTATTGCTGCCACAGACGTCTTGTCACTGCATCGTGCAGTGCACATATGTACACCGATGGAGAGTGACTTAAACACTTGAACAGAACAACTGTAACGGTTTCGTTCAACGCGTGGACCAATCCGTTACAGATTTCCATTTGCACTGTACATAGCAACTGCTATATGGTTCCCAATTGCTCCGAGTTTTAGGGTTGAAGGTTTGGGGTGACATAACGGGAGTGACGGAACTCATCTGAATTCTCAAATGCGTTGAGGTGTACTCCGTTGACCTTGTTTGTTAAATGTCTGCGTTCAAAACAGAAAAGACGAAAGAAATGATACTGAAGGTGACGGACGACAATTCAATACTGACCAATCAACTACTAGTTTTGCTGAAGGTATATTGATG